AGCGTGTCTCCAGAACAGTCTGCTGACTGAGTCCAGGAGCACTGGGGATGTGAGGGATGCCCAGCCGACACCTGCGTGGTCGGGGAACTGTCATGGCTGGTATGGTCCCTGCACTCCCCCTGAATCTGAATTATTTACGACCACTTGCAGCTACATGTCCACTGCTTGTGCTGACCTCCGCTCCAGAAGTAGCAGAGGTGCCTTTGGGAGGTAGCACAAAAACAGGGAGCAAGGTAGGCGGGGCTGGCATGTGTCAGCCACACAATGGCTGCAAATGAAAGGTACTCAGGGCAGGGATCAGGCAACATTAGGAACACATGAGCTGCCACTGAAACCAAGTGGGGTGTGGAGGAGGCAGCAGAGGGCAGTGTCACGAGTGTCATCCTGGTGCCACTACCTTCCTCCCGTGACTGTGGGGAGGCCATGTCCCATCTTGGAGTGGGGTTGGACTCAATCCCTCCCACACCCTGTGCCGCCCCAGAGCACAGTCCCGCAGGTGTGACTTTCAGCCAATGTTTGTTGAATGAGAGGAATTCCAGCAACTCCAGACATGTGCTCTTCAAAGAGGCAGGTAAAGAAAACACCAGGCAGGCTTCCTTACTGCTGCCCAAATTGTCTCCCCAGTACAGAAGGGACAGGAGCTGAACCCTGAGAGGCATTTTATTCCAGATCACACGCCCAGCACCCAGAGTCAGCTCGTGGCAGGTGCTAGGCAAGTTCGGATCTTCAGGGAGAGCCCTTCTCTGCCTGGTCACCGGGTGGACACTGTCCAGAGTCCCACCCTGGCTGCAGCTGGTCCCCGAGCCTGCCCCGGCACGGGTGCCTCGGCCTCTGTGCCAGCACACTGCCAATGCACCGGTGTCCAAACCCTGATGGCTCCAATTTGCATGGATGCCTTGTGTCCACCCACCACTGTGACAGTGCCTTTGTCCAGGCACAGGGAACTGTGGTTTATGTCACAAACACGCTCTGACACCTTTCCATCAGCAATTCCAATCTCCACGGGCGTCTCTTTGCATTTATGTACAGCACAGCTGCTGCCCATGGAAGGTGCAGTTGGTGACATTGTGGGTGGCCAAGCAGTCGCCCTCGTCAGGTCTGTCCCCTTGAAGTCTCGCAGAGACCCTCCCCTCTCTTGGAAA